GAAATTTTCTCAGGATATTGGGTTCCTACAGTGCCCTAGGAATCACCTATAGGTATTATTTATCACCCTGTAACAATTTATCAAGCAAACAAAAGCATTATTTTGTAAACAAGGTTTCCTTTACTTTCCATCACTAAATTTGCTGGATTATATTCTGTTTACCATGAATAATAAAATATGAAAGAAATATGATGAAGAAAAAAAATCTCCCTATCAGTTCTAATAACACTGTCTTACTCAGCTGAAAATTACATTTAGAAATTTGTATATCAATTCAGCCTGGTTCTTAATTTTAACTTAAGAAGTAACCTAATAGTCTCATACAGTGAACTCATCTATGAGAGTCTAGTGATGAATTTCTAAAAAATACATCATTTAGGGGCCCGGCGCGGTGGCACAAGTGGTTAAGGTCCTTGCCTTGCACGCAAGGATCCCATATGGACGCTGGTTCTAATCCCGGCAGCCCCGCTTCCCTTCCAGCTCCCTGCCTGTGGCCTGGGAAAGCAGTCGAGGACGGCCCAAAGCTTTGGGACCCTGCACCTGCGTGGGAGACCTGGAAGAGGCTCCTGGCTTCGGATTGGCATAGCATCGACCATTGCGCTCACTTGAGGAGTGAATCATTGGACGGAAGATCTTCCTCTCTGTCTCTCCTCTCTGTATATCTGCCTTTCCAATGAGAAAATAATAAAAATAAATCTTAAAAAAAATACATCATTTAGAAAAGAGTTGCAAAAAGTAAATCATGCTCTAAATACATTATTATTATCCCTAATAAGCATAAAGATTTAGTTTTGGTAATTCACCTTAACAAAAAGAAATTTGGAGATTTTTCTTCTATTTATATTTGTTTTGGTGTAGCAGGAAATGACTGGGTTACTAACCAAGAACATCACCTGTTATTTACCTGAGATCATGGCATAGTATCATAAAAAGATGCTATCTTTCTGCAGAACCACTAGTAGTTATCCTAAGTAAGCAAAATTTCTGGTTTTAGAAACAATTTAAAAGATGCTTTAATAGCAAAATGAATACTAAAATGGGATGACATTTCCATTAACCTACATTTCATTTTTTAAGAAGGCTTAAGATTTGGCGAAATATAGTGAATGGGAAATGCAGTCTCTAAAGAACTTAATTGTTGAAATAGGTATGTCCATTCATTCCCTATCCATTCATTTACACAATGACTGGGGTCAATTATGTTCCAAGCCCAAAACCAATTTAGACCCAGTCCTCAAGGAATGCATAGTCTCACTTGAAGAGACAAGAGAAACAGCTAGCAATTGCACAGCATGGGATTAACAATGCAGGGGGCAGAGAACCCAACTGAAGTTCCAAACAGAGCATACAGGAATGGTAAACGATTCAGGCAGTGTAGGCAGACAGAAAGGAGATGAGTAAAAGGGTTCCTCAAAGGAAGGTGAGCAAGAGTCATGTCTCTGAGGAGGAAGTCTCAGGCAGATGAAGCTGCCTTTACAAAAGCATGGAAGGGGACAAATTCAAGGTCAGGGTGGCTGGACTGAAGGCAATGCATGGAGAGACAGCGCTTGATGAGAACGCACCGAGAATGTCCATCAAAGGAAGCAGACACACGTCATGCTGAAGAACTTCAAGTTGGACACAACCGTATTTCTAATTCAAATCTTATAGTTACAATCCAACAACAAAAAGATATTTTGAAGCAGCCACAGAAAGTGCCTACTGTATTATCCTTATCAGTCCTTTTGACTAACAGCTGCATGAAGGCAGAAATATTTCTTACCCAAAGCACCTACTGCTATTGAATTAATCTGACTTCAGATCCTGTGGAAATAACTGATGAGCTCATTTCATGGCAAGACTTCTATTATTTAATTCTCTCTTGTGCTTGACTAGATGTTATATAAAAAATACTATGTGGACATGGTGTCTGATGTTGAGAAGCTTGTAATTTAAGATGTAACAGTTGTTATTATTCTTAATTTTCAGAACTGAAATGTCATCGCTCTGTGTGACAAATTGAGAAACAAACTAATCATAAAAAGGCCATAAGAGCTAATAACTAAAGGAAGTAAGTGTGCTAAATAAATCAACGGAAAATTATAAATGCTCAGAATTTTCAGTTGTTTATTATGATTTATATTGTTGAGTTGAGAATTATATTAACCTTTTGACACAGAAAGATGGAATTCGCTAACTGAGTTAGAAGAGCCCTACTTCTATTGTCATGCAGATTGATAATATTTACAGCCTAATATCACCCCCTTTCAAAATACTGCCAACACTGTGAAGTGTTACTGAAATGCAATGGGAAACACCATTTACTGCTGCTGCTGTTTGCATGGGTGTCTGGCAGTACTCACAGCAAATTCAATGAATTCTGTGCCTAAACTGATGAGAGGGGTCTTCATGCTGAACCTTTGTTGTCTATATGTTTATCTCGTATATAGGACTGGTGCTACATCTTTGAAATAAGAAAATCTATTGTTGACTGCTGAGCCTACCACACTGGTTTGCACATCAGGCATGCTTTATGCAGGAACCACTTACTAGGAGTCTGATTCTTAAAACTACTTTTCCTTCCCAGAAGCCCAGAGCTTTAGGAGTTGTTCAATTCTTTCCTCAAGAGACATGTGGAAAAACCAATCTTCTATAACCAGGAAATAGCTATTCTCACTAGAGAATAGGACTGTGAGTCACAGTGGATGCGAAGTCAGGACACCAGGGTACATTTTTTTTGCTGCTGGTTACTCAATGGTCAATAAGCTAAGCAGTCACATATTAAAATAATACGTGGGTTCCAGTGCAGTGGCCTAGTGGCTAACCCCTTGCCTTGCAACTGCCGGGATACCAAACGGGTACTGATTAATGTCCCAGCTGCTCCATTTCCCATCTAGCTGCCTGCTTGTGGCCTGGGAAAGCAGTGGAGGTTGACCCAAGTCCTTGGGACCTTGCACCTGTGTGGGAGACCCAGAAGTGCCTGGCTCCTGGTTTCAGATCAGCTCAGTTCCAGTCGTCGCTACCACTTGGGATGTGAAATCTCTTGGGAAATCCATCTGCCTTTCCAATAAAAATAAATAAATCTTAAAAAATGCAATATATGGAATATATCATGGAATATAACTGATAAAACTGTTTTGCCTCAGTGTTTAAGATAACACACAATGCCAAAGAAATCGCATGCTTGTAGAAGCTGGTTTTGACCAAGCACCCAGAGACTGGCCGTAACAGTTTATTCCTTTGGACCCTGGGGGCATGTTGGTGGAAACCCTGAAAAGCAGGAATGTGTGGAAGAGCAGAGGCTTTAAAACTACACACCCTGCTCCTCTACATTCCCTGAGAATCTAACTCTGACCAAATCAAGTTTGACCTCAAGCCTCAGTGTCCTTATAAAACAGCAAAGTTATTTAATATGAAAATTTATAAGCCATGTAGCACAGTTGCTGATGGATCTAGGAGCAGATATCAGATCACGACACACTCCTGCCTAAAATCTTCCACCAGCTCACTCTGGCCTTTGGAATGAAGGCCTACACAGTTCTTTAGTTTTTGGTACACAGACCCTTTGGCAGCATGGGGAAGTTAAGGGGTCCTGCTTAGAACAGTGTGTTAAAGTTCATGAAATAAGACATATAATAAGGGAAATGATTCATATTGAAATACAGCCGATTTGGACACCAAAACCCCTATTTATGAGACAGTAATATTAAGAGGCAATGCAAGTTTGCCACAAACGTATTAAAGCCTCTGTATATGTGCTTCTCTGTAATAAAGTTATAACTATGGTAATTTTGAAGTGGTGATGAGCTAGTAACATTTCTAGAGACCTGTGGCAAATGTAATGCCACATGAAGATACCTGAGAATTCTAGTTGTAGAGTCATAAGTACCACTACAACTACTGTGGTTGGTCTCATTTTGCATAGTTCATGACAGAAAGAAATCCAAACTTCATTTAGATGATAATGAGGAAATTGTCTGATACAATGTGCATTTATTTGTCTTGGGTTGATTCTCTGCTTCCCTGCCTTGAGTGTGAGCTCAGCAGGAGCAGGAACTCCATCTACACATTCAATGTCATATTCAAGGGATTTACAACAGGACATCTTGCTACGTGAAAGAAAAATAATGAAGCACTCTCATTCTTCACTATTTTGATGTGACAACAATACACAGGAATGAGAGGCAAACTCCTTATCTAAGTGCCTAAGCAGCTGAGTCAGTCACTGAGTGTGAGGGACACTGAAGGGGGATTGAGCTGGGCTGGGCTAGGATCCTGTATTACTGGGCTTTCTACCAGGGGCTAACTGCTTGTAGGGCCTCTGTATCTTCCTACAGTTCCAGAGAGTGGACTGGAGAAATTGCTCTCCATGCTCTCTGATTTGCGGTCATTAAGAGCTAACAGCACAAAGTAGCTGGTGTGGCAAGAGGTGGATGCTGACGTTAAGTGGATGTAGAAGGGCTCTGAAGTATGACCAGTTTCCAATAAGTAAAGGGGGAGGGGAATGCTTCAGAGTCAGGATCTCTGCAGTAAAACAAACTTTCAATGCTGCCCAGCATGGCTACCAGGAGACATATCGGATATTGACTGGATTTCTCTACATAAGACCATCTCTGAAGGGACAATACAATACCCTGTCTTCGTTGCAACCTGGCATGGTGTTCTTGAGTTTGGACTGCAGGGCTCAGACCTGAGTTCAAATCCCAGCTCTGTTGTTCGACTAGACATGTGAACTCAGACAAATCGCATTCCTGTTTCTCAACTTTCACTTCTGTAAAATGGAAACAACTTTATGGGATTATGGCCAACAGGAAGTAAGAAAAATGTATGCAATGTGTTTAATACGCATTCAGTGCAGGCTATGTATGATTCCCTCTGCTAAAGAGTTCATTGGAGTAGCAAAATTGTTATGTATTCCCCAAAACCACTTTTCCCTTCTTCCACCACTACCGAGTTTTTACAAGCTAGGGACTCCATTACCCAGATTAGAGTTTGCGAACCAGTGTGTAACATGAACCTACCTTTTCCTTGACATTCACGTGAGTATTGAGTTCAGCCATCTTGCTTCTAGTGGAGCAAGCCTATAAAGAATGAGACAAGATTAACTTCAGTTTTAAAATTGATTTCTCAATGTATTATTTTTATGTTCTTTTCCGACAAAGTAAACAATTTTATTCAGTCCCCATCATAAATACCATTTTAGAATGTAAAAATACTTCCAGCTAAGCATCTGAGTTAGATATCTTTTAAAAGCATCTTATGGTAACTCTAGAAGACAATGTAAAATCTTTTATTCATACTGTATTGACATGAAAACTGACAAAGAAAGATAGGAATGCATTCAAGCTGTGTTTTTTGTTACAAAAAGAAAAGTTGGTCATAGTAAGCAAAGGGAAACTGCCTATTTTAGCTAAGCATTACCATCACATCCTTAGTGTCCCAAGCCTTTCAGCAGTCCCCAGGCAATCTAACAAACATTTATTAGCTCCTGCATGCACATAATTATACCAAACACTACAAAAAGAAACTACAGAAATGGTTCCAGGTTTAAACATAAGAAGCATGCTTTGTGTGTGTGTGTTGTGTTTTACTTTTGTTTCTATCTGAACTCTCACTTCAGTCATTGCATAGCTTGTTCTTTTCTGTCTGCTTCATGTCAGTTCCTCCAGACTTGCCTCCTCTGAAAAGGCTTCCCTGGATACCCTATCAAAACTTGCCCCCTCCTGCTCATTCCCCATCAAGCACATGCAAGCTTTTAAACTTGTTTTCTTGCTTGCCTACATATCAAGTGGGACCTTTTAGATCAATATGTAGGGATCTTTACCATAGCCTTTTGAAAAAATATATATATATCCATATTTTTATTGGAAAGCAGATTTACAGAGAGAAGGAAAAACAGAAAAAGATTTTCCATCTGTCGGTTCACTCCCCAAAGGGTCACAATGGCCAGAGTTGAGATGATCCGAAGCCAGAAGCCAGGAGCTTGTTTTGGATTTGTCACACAGGTGCAGGGTCCCAAGGCTTTGGGCTATCCTCTGTTGCTTTCTCAGCCACAAGCAGACAGCTGGATGAGAAGTGGAGCAGCTGGGACAATAACTGTTGCATGCATGGAATCTCAATGTTTGCAAGAGGATAATTAACCAATCAAGCTGTCACACCAGGTCCTCACCACAATCTCTAATGGCCACAGATTCATGCTTTCCAGGTCTAACTGGACCCGTCAAATTGCCCATGCTCTCTCTGTTCCCTAAAACCTTCTGGTTTTCTGCCTTTTCTCTGTGGAATGCTCAGTTCTGAGATCTCTATTCCCAACATCAAGCTGTGAGGGTTTCTTTTCCTTCATCCAGTCAGAATTTTTCATCATTATTATGGAAAATAGATATTCTGTCTTTAATAAACAGCTACAATCTTCTTGGAATAGAATAAATGACTTCAATGTATGAACAGATTAGCTCAGAAATTAGCAGCTAGTCAGGTCATCAGAACAAGTTAAACTTCCTGTTTGCATGGCAAAAGCTTTTTATCAGTCAAGAGCCAGTGATATATTTTCTTATATTCTTTCTGATTTTTGTTACAAAAGGACAGTATCCTCAGCCTCAGAGTCATTTTGTTAGGGATAACTTACAAAAATCCTCAGATGTTGCCCTCCATTTTTTTTAACACCTAAGCCTTAAAAAAAAAGACTTTTAAATTTTTATTGGAAAGGAAGATTTACAGGGAGAAGGACAAAGATCAAGGTTTTCTGTCTACTGGTTCACTCCCCCAAGTGGCCATAACAGCTGGAGCTAAGGTGATTCAAAGCCAGGAGCTTCTTCTGGGTCTCCCACGTGGGTGCAGAGTCCCAAGGCTTTAGACCATCCTCTACTGCTTTTCCCAGGCCACAATCTGGGAGCTGGAAGGGACATGGAGCAGCCAGGACATGAACCGGTGCCCATATCGGATCCTGACATGTGAAAGGCAGGGATTTAGCCACTGAACTATCTTGTTGGGCCTTACCCCCAAATCTTAAATAAAGCATAAGAATGAGGGGTCTTCAAAAACCTCACAAATGAAACTATACATGGCTTTCATTTTTTTTTTTTTTTTGTATCAAAAGTAGCTTATCCTTTAATTCTGGTTTCCATGAGCTCTTTGAAGCACCCTTACACAGATCCTTTTGCTTGGTGTTGTGCAATGCTAAACTGCATTACCACTCAAACTGTTCTCAGATAGGAATCACAAGATGAACAAATACTAAAAGGGGCAAGATTTTACTTGTCGACGTTCCCAAAGGATACAGCCACTGACACAGGCATCTGGACAAGCAGGCCCATAGAATGACCCTCGCCCTCTTTCCTGCAAGCTCTCCTGCAGTGGGCCCTATGGTGGAAGCATCTCCCACTGCTTCCAAAATGCAAATTCTTGAAACCTCTGACTCAGCACATGGGAGACAGTAAACACTATTAGCTAGAAAATAATATTTGCCTTTTATTCCCACCTGTTCCTGTCCCTAAAAGTTAGTAAAAGACAGGCTTGCCTTCTTACTAAATCAACAGAACAGAAATGGTGTGCAAGGCACCAAATAATCAGGTGGCTTTTGTTTACAAGCCATGTATGAAAAAACAAAACCTTTGGTCAGTTATCACAATGCTTGCAAGACTATAATCAGAGTATCTGAAGACTTCTAGAAGGATGGATTTTTAAAAAATTAAATGAAAGCCTTGGCATTATGCAAATATATGTGTACACTGTACATATATAGACTTTTCAGTGTATGATATAGTGTGCATGTGTGTATGTAAGGGCAGGAGGAATAGGAGGAGGGACAGATACACCTACTTAACTATGAAAGAATGAACTGAAGTGACAGCTAGACTTAGAATCGTATTTGTAGAACAGATCTGCGAGCCACCATGCCTTCTACTAGATCAGGGCAGTTGACTCCAGGACGTGCTTGGGATTGCTATTGTAGCAATGTGAAATCTCACAGAAAAAGTTTTTGTTTTGTTCTATAGCTGGGCTTTGATGTCTATGGCTTGAACGTGCAACATTTTCTAAAGCTACAATCCATGAAGTATTCAGGGAGAAGTTTCATTGAGGATGGACCATTTCTGAGCACTAAGGAATTGAGAGCACCAAATGGTAACCTCTATTGATCAGGCAAAGCGTACACATACCAAAACACACTCACTCACTCACTCATTCACACCTCTTCTTAGCAATTCTCTTTCTCTTGGATCACAAAAACTAACTCAGGATGACTCTTTTCACATATTGATGCTGAGATTAATCACAATGTTTTTTTTAGAAAATACTAACAATGCGGACAGAATGAGGCTTCTGCATGTTTCTAAGATTGGAAGATAAAATTAATAAGGAGCTGTGCTTTGTCCATTTTACTCTCTTAATTTATTTTCCACATGAAAGACAGTCTTCACAGATTCAACTCCCATGCCTTCTTGACATTATGGCTTTCTGAGCCCTAGAATGTAAGAAGAATTTGGAACCTGGGCAAGGCTTCAGTCATGGAAATCAGTGAAAGGGTCTTAATCCAAATAGATCATAAATGTGGTTGATTTAAACATTTATGCATTCGAGTGGGTTGAATATCCAATTGGGTTCTACCGAAAAGGATAAATGCTAGAGAAACCAGGACAGGTGAAGCTGACCTTCAGGATTCCCTGCAGGTCCTCCCTGAGATTCTGCAACCTCCCAGTGAGACCAGTTCCTTGAGAAAGTTCAGAAGCACAGCTTACACCTGAATGGCGGTACTTGCTTACCATCTTTCCCAAGCAAGTTCCCTTACTCCTGTGGAAATAAAAATGGGCTGTATTTCAATTCTATAGGGATCCCGTTTTCTGCTATGAACTGTGTCTGGTAAGTCAGCTGAAACTAATCTTACTTGTCTTAGATAGTCAAGAAAATTTTCTTCTAGGAAGCATTTCTTTACCTGTTCCCATGTGACAGGTCCAAGGTTCAGCATTTGTAAACCTGAATCCTTCAACTGGTAGACATTCAGGTTATCCCAGGAAGTCTTCAATGCTGTGAACTTTGGGCCCCATAGTGAGTAACAGGAATTTCCCTCACCTTATGCTTGGTCATTACAGTTGGTAGTGCATCACTGTTGAGCACAACCTTAACTGCAAAAAAGATTCAGGAATCTCTGACTTCAGGGAGCAGAAAAATGGTTTCCAGTTTTCATTACCACTTCAGACCATTCCTGCATAGGAACAATTACTGAGGTCTCACTATATAAATCCATAGATACTTGTCCTGTGTAATTAGTTACTTAGTACAAAATTAAAATACAAAAAAAGTTATAATAATAATGTAACATTTCAGTATCTTATTTATTTTAAAATTATTAAAATTACAATTAGTTTTCAGCCTTACATTTGTAAATAAATATAGGTAATACCTAGTTTTCATATATATGTTCAGGAAAAGTAAAGATCAAGGAAACTGTTAAAACTTATTAAAAAGAGACATCAATCACATGAAAAGTAATTCCATCATTTCAATATATCATCTATATACTTCACCAATGTAGAATTAATAAACTACAAATTGTTACCACCAATGACTTCCAGCATCAAATTGAACTATTTAACAAGCAAAAATCTTATTTACTATGCATTCATATGAGTGAAAACATCTATTACCTTATGATATTGACAATAATTTAATGTAAAATAAATCTGGATAGCAGAAATTCTGGTGCAAATGTTTGTTTCAGCATTTCTAATTGGCACATCTCAACAAAGTTTAATATATATGACAATTTAGTCAATGACCAAACTCCAAGTTTAAAAATATACATTGATATATCTTATACAATCATATGAAACATGGAAAGTTGTAACAGTGTCTTGTAATGCCAAATTGTTTTATGGCTTTTTTATTTCTGTCCTGTTTTATTGTACATGTAGTGATAAAGTTTCACTTTTGTTTCTTTGAAACCTACTACCTCCTTTAGATTCATTTTCTTGTTCTCAGGTATTACGTCACTTCACTTGTATTAGACTTACAGAAACTGAGGATATAACATAAGGAAAGCTTAAAAATAAAATTCTTAACAATTTTGTCACGGTCACTTGCGCAAAATTTCTCCCAAGATTTAAAAACGAAACTATAAAAATTATGGTGGATATTGGCATTTACAGAGCATTTAAGAAGTTATTGAACTATAAGCTTGAAATGCCAAGATTCAGCAGATTGGGTTTACAGAGGAAAGAGGACAAGCTGGAAGAGGCAGGAAACTGACTAGACTTTCTGGCTAATCATCAGGGGCAACTGGGGAGTACTGAAAAGGAGATTTCTGGGTCTGAGTGCCAGGAGGCGGAGGGATTGGGACTGCAAACACAAACAGCCCAGGTGGTTTTCCTGCAGAGCCAGAACTGAATGTGGCCAGTGCCCAGTCTGAAGCGGGTGCACTAGCAACATAAAGACATATTGGATTTCAAAGACTTAGTTAAAAAAAAAACAATGTAAGCTGTCTTATTGGTATTTTGATATTAATTGAAACAATAATATTTGATGGATGGGATTAAGTAGAATGTAATAAAAAATTATTTTTTATCATTTTAAAAATTATTTTCATGGGTTATTCTGGAGTAGTACTTTTAAATATCTTATTGTTTATTAATTTGAGAGTCTAACTGATGAGTTTTGCTGGTTTACTCTACAAATACTGGTAGCAGTGGGTAGGGGTATTGGTGGGAGGAGTTGTGATAACCTGAGCTATCGCGGCTGCTTCTCAGGATCTGCACTACATGGGAACTGGAGTCAGGAGTTAGCAGCCGAGCCAGACACCAACCCCAGGCATTCTGACATGAGGGCACAGATGGCCTGATTGGCATCCCCAAAGCTAGGCCAAACATTTATGTGCAGCAGTGATTCTTAGAGCATGGTTCCCAGAGGAGCAGTGGCAGCAGGGTTGCCTGAGTACTCCTTAGAAATACAAATGCTCTGTCCTCCCTCCCTTCTCAGAGAGAGATGGAATCCTACACACTGGACATAGTAGATAGTGTCTTAACAAGCCCCACGGTGCATTCACTTGCACAGCCACATACATAGAATATGTATCTTGGGGAAAGAAACATAGGGCCTTTCCTTAATTCCAGGAACTGTACACTAGAGGCAGAATCTCACCAAAATCGGGATGGATAAATGGGAGGCCAGTTTCTTACAGATGACAATGTTAAAGAGCATCTTTTTTTTTTTTTCTTTCACCAACTTGCTACTAGTAACAGTCAAGACATGCATGGAGAAGTTAGAACATGTGCCAAGTACTCCAAGTACTCAACACACTATTTTCGCTTACTCTCAATATCCTATGAGTTAGAAACTGTGATTACTCCCCTTCTGTATATGTGAAAACTGAGGTGCAAAGAGACTGGGTAACTAACTCCAAGTTCCATTCTACATAGAAGGACCAGGGAGTTTGACCCCATGAGTCTGACTTGGGAGACCATGGTCATCGCATTAATACACCTCAAACACCAAACAAGTCGCTGGGTCCCACTGTCTAGGAACTGTAGTGGAAACTTTCCACACAACTATCGCCAAGGCTCCAACCCAGGGTTGGCAGGTGTGTTTGATGCCTGCTTGGTACAGACACAGAACACATGAACTATGAATAAAACTATTCAGCTTTCACAGGAATGTTCAGGATCATGTTTCTTAGAGACAGCTATTTTTCCTTTAGCTTCCTACCTCAGATGAGACAGCAAATGACTGTATTTGGTGGGTTCCAGCCAACAAACTGTTTCCTGGACTGTGCAATGCAGCCAGGAGCTCTGTATAACTCCAGGGCTTAATACCTAAGTGATTGTGCATCATAAAGTCCACATAAAATGTCCACATACCTGACTTGGCGATGGCCTAGACCAAGCTGTGATCATACGGATCCTGACATTTTCTCATGCTGCCTCAGAAGGAAGCATTAGGACTGATCTTGGGTATGAGAAGTCAACCATATTGATATAATTTGAGATGCAGCAAAGCTTCTTGATCAAAATAGCAAGTCTGAAAGTCTAGTCTCTCAGAACATGGACTTACTAAGGTATCATCATCTGTGGTTAGTTTAGGGCACTGGTTTAGTGAGGGTAAGAAAACTTTTTTCTGCCAGGGGTCATTTGGATATTTATAACATCATTTGAGGGCCATACCAAAGTATCAATTTAAAAAATTATTCCACTACAGATTTATTGATATTTGAGTCCTGCCTGTGGTTGCTTTGGCAGGGCCAGATCAAAACATTTCATGGGGTTTTTATCCCCTGTGAGTCGTATGTTCTACCCATGGTTTAGAACATGCTAGAATAAAGTGCAACATCACAGTTTACTTCATTCTACTGCCATCGATTGGTCTTTAGCAGAGAACAATACTTTAAAATGTGGATAGCAAACAGAGAGAGTGAGAATGACAGTGAGTGAGAGAGAAAGTGAGAGAGAGATCCTTATCTACTGGGTCTACTCCCCAAATGACTGTGATGGCCTGTGCTGAGTCAAGGCTAAAGATGGGAACTAGTAACTCAATCTGAGTATTCCATCATCATTATTGTTTCCCACAGTCTTCAGCTAGCTGGAAGCTGGAGTCAGGAGCTGGAGGGTGGGCTGTCAAACACAGGCATTCCAATATAAAATGTGGTTGTCTTAAACCATGAGATCAAATGCTGTCTTAGGACACATATAGGTGTTTATACAGGGTACTATGCATCCTGATGGGACTACAGCAGGGGATGGAGTCTCACATTTCTAGTTGCAGAACAAGAGGTTGGAGTAAATGACCTCTGTGGTCCTTTTTAGCTCTCAGGTAGAGGTAGTCTACAAGGTCACCAGGAGGTGACCAGAACACCTATATGCTAGAGTGGCAGAAAGCGAAATAAATACTTTTAAGAAGTGCTGTCTCTGATGCACAAGTCTATTTCTCTGTGCAGGTTACCCTTAAGGTAGTCAAGAGGCAGCTTGACTGCCAGAACACAATCAGGGCACCAATGTGTCACTTAGAGAAGGAAACAGCACTCCCTCTATAGAACTGGAACTTTGTCTAAATTTCACATTAGTTGAGTCTTTTGGTATTTAACTTTCCAATGACTTTTTTTTTTTTTTTTTTTTTTGGTACCTGCTTCTTCTCCCTTCAACATTTTCCTATTCCTGATGGGCCCTCATAATGGCTGAGGTCTCTTATATTCTAAGTACTTTAGCTCTTTCAGGCTGTGGCTTAATTCTCTTATTTAATAAGGGTTCTTGTGTAGCACATTGTTCCTTAGAGAAAAGTTGCTTTAATGATTAAGAATGAGGACACACAAACAAAGAAACAGAGTGCCAACTGAATTAAGACTTTCATATGAAGATATCTGTAGTTTGGTTTCTTTTTTTCATGTAATTTGAAGAAAAAAAAATCTCAAGGTTGCATTTTTATTCGAAGACACTGTAATGTACTCAGCCCACTGTCAGAATGACTTCATTGAAAAGCATTTTAAGGGCAAATGTCAGAAAAAAATTCACATTTAAAAGCTTAGGCTTGGCCTCTTTTGAAAAAGCAGGGTTAGCCTTTGGTTTTGAAATGTCACTGCCTACTAAGTTCTTTGTGGGGGGGAAAGAAAGAAAATTTAATGTTTTATTTAAACAGGTCATTAACAGTCAATACTTATTTGAAAGGGCCTGCTTTTAGACGCAGATAAAAGCTTCCAATCACTTAGAATCTCACTGGAGCAGATCTGGGGCAAGATGTGCTGATGCAAGTTTGAGCCATTTCTGGGAGAACATGGTCACTCAACAGCCCCAGCACTAGGCAGGAGGAGGGTTTCTGGGCACCACTGTCTGTGCTGGACATGCAGAGACTCAGTGGGTGGCAGGCCCAGTCTGGAATTTCCCATTTTAGTGCTGGCAACATGTGTATCAATGAAGATCAACCATTCTTGCATAAAGTTGCCAAGCTATCTCCCTATCAAGGCAGAATGCAAATGGGGATAAAAGAGCAGAGGGCAGTGAAAATACATGTGGTAGATCCCATCAGCACAGTCACA